TAATTATTAGGTTGGATGCCATTGCTAGTAGGTTGGAGGCCATCGCTGTTAGGTTGGAGGCCATCGCTTAGGTTGGAGGCCATCGCTAATTATTAGGTTGGATTCTGGATGCCATTGCTAGCTAGTAGGTTGAAGGCCATCGCTCTTGGGTTGGAGGCCATCGCTAGCAAAGCAGGTTAGAGGCCATCGCTCTTAGGCTGGGGGCCATCGCTCTGAGGTTGGAGGCCATCGCTCTGAGGTTGGTTGTTGCCTCACCTTGACCATCCTTAACCCATCAAGAGGCCTGTATCAGCCCTTTCCATGCGTCTCACGGGCCCACCTGCTGGTACGTGTCACGGCTGTCTGCTTGGATCAGTTCGCCACTGTTGCCGTCCAAAAGCTTGAAGTAGTTGTATTTTGCCTTCTATCAACTTCTGGACAACTCTGAGTACAGGCCTTTGGATTTATCTACTGCAGTCAAAATACCATACAAGTGACAGCACAATAAGCAAAGAACTCTCCAAAGCACACCCATTTGGTAGCAAACATTGGCAAAGTATGTGTCAGGCAATGCTCAAGGGATTCGGGCCACTTATCGGTGGAGAGAGGGCCAAAAAACAGATGGCAAACACTGCCTGCGCACAAAAATTGTACAACGACATGGGCCACCTACAAGCAACACTGGTTGGGTGTGTACCTATGATCGACCCAGGAAGCTGGTACATCCGTGAAGTCCCAGGCGGGCCTCTCCTTCGCCCAAGCGGAAAGTGGCATCAGCTGTCCTTCCGCAAAGATTGTGGCAGTCAAAAGAAGAACAGTCCCAGATCAGATTATGAAAGTATGGCGATCTGATTGTGCATGCCCTCTCATTCTAGTTGAAGGGGCTAAAATGACAATGCAAAATTGATCATCACTCTATGTTCCATTGATGTTGCAATATATATATATATTGATCCGCCACAGGACTATTCTTGCAACTGCCTTGTTCACACATGCGTCGAAAGTCCAGCATACCTTGTGCGTATGTTGCCTTGATGAATACACGTGCTGAAGTGAACACCTCTGAATTGTATGTATGGCCGGCCAGTCCACAAAAACTTGTCACCACCAAGCCAACTGCTCTGGATGAAGCGGTAACCCCAATGTGGACCATAGTGGCCAAAGTATCTCTTGGAGTACCTGGCTGGAAATCCATACCCTGTTCATGTCATCTTCGCGCAAATGAGAAGCCGCACAAATGACGAGAAAATCAAGTTCTGCTCCGATCTGTTTGAACATCTTGGTTAATTTTATATGTCATTATTATTCGTTTGTTTCTGTCTGTTTAGGTGTTGAGTCACGAGAAAATAACAATACACACTCTCACAAATGATTAGATGCCAGGTGGCCCACGACCCTGACGCTTTTGTCCTCCATACCTTTGCCGTGACAACACATCAGGATGGGTGGATGACAGCCCTTGAACTGGCAGTTTAAGCAATGGCAGAATAAATGAAAGACTGCCAGGGCCAAGAATCTCTGTCTACATTGCCCCAGGACCAAGCGTCTCTGTCTACATTACCCCAACATGTTCACCTCGTCAATCAGTTTCAACTACCTCTGCTCCCCCGGTTTAGGATGGTTTAGGACAGTCTACTTTCTTCAGCTTTGGCCCAGCCACGTCATGGAGAGTTCCAAGTCTGGGCGATGTATCACTGCGTCGGCGCTCTGGCCAGCAGGAAGCCAAGAGAACACCTGCAGAACGTCGCACATTAAGGGGATGTTGGTTGGGTATAGGGTCTGCATGATGGGTTCGCAACATGGCCAGACACTGACAGAACAAATCTTGATGGTAATGTAGTATTAAGTTGACACAGCACACGTGATTCGTGAACTCTCAGGGTTAGCAGGGGTGATAAATTTAGGACAAAAATAGAATACGATAATATAATAGATGAATGACGTGGGCTGATTTACAAGCTAGCACATGTAACTTACTTGAAGCGGGAAGGGTATGAAGCGTCTGATGAAACTATCCACAAAACAAGTTACAATTATATAGGGGATGTCTGTATCAACACCAATACAAAATAGTTTCCTTGAGGCTCATAATTATATAGTTTAGGAGTGTGTCATTATAGGTGTCGTTCCTTTCTTGTCGGGCAAGAACTCGCTGCAGGATTGGGTTAGAAAAGGGACAAACGAAAGAATAGATTCAGGAGAATGTGTTACATCCAAAATCAAGCAACTGAAAAAAATAGAAACAAAACGCACTTCTCAAGGAGAAAAAGGACAATGAAGGAATGTTGGGCTGGATTAGAAAAAGGACACTAAGGCAACAGTTGGATTGGCTTCAGCTTTTTTCGGAAATATCTTTGGGATAAAGAGGTGCTAGCTGTTGCAGCGAAAAATTGTCAATTCCTGATGTTGATGGCTTGGGCTTGGGTGAGGCTGCTTGCCTTTTTTTGCGGTGGTTCGGGTTTGAATTGAAGCTCGAAGGTTTGGATTGAAAGAGCTGGATTGGGTTGCGAGAGGACGCAGTGCCTCCATCCAAAAGCAAAGAAAAGCCACGACTCTTGAGGTAAATGCTGGCTCCGGGAGTAGAAACAAAGGCAGGAATTGGCATGGCAGGTGCAAATGCGAGTTGTTGCAGCAAACAAAAAGCAAATGTCAGAATGCCCCAGGTGGATGGTTTGTGAAAACTGCAGGAGGGCTGGCTTGGGTTCCTTCATTCCTTCCTTGGAAGATTTTTCTGCTCAGTGGAAGGCCAAGGGCCAAGAATCTACAATGAAACAACAAAAACATTCTCGAGAAAGACACATCCTAGCAAAAAAATCCCTGGCCATTACTCCATTTAATCTCTTCCGGTTCCAGTGGTTTCAAACCATGAGATATCGATTCTCAATGTTTGTGCAACTGTCGGAAAGGAAGGATCTACTAAACGCTTGCATGGAAGCTCTACCTTCATAGTCATGAATCAATGATGTGTTTGCAAATGCTCCCGAAAATGCTATTGACAACCTGCTTGTTACCAGCAACAACAACACCACCACATACATTCTATTTGCGAAAAATTGCGTGGTGTGTTCACAGCCTGTCCCAACAAACAATTTTCGAGGCCATCGTCTAAGAATGGGCAGAACTGGCGTGTCAATGGAAGCCTATTGCTCCTTTGTTCTGTTTTTTTAGTTTGGAGGCCATCACTCTTACGCTCCCTCTCTCTCTCTCTCTCGTGGAGTAGGTCTTCCTAGCCCCATGCCCACCGCTTGGCCACATGGTGTTCTACTTGAACTATAAAGGTGTGCTTCTCCTTTTGAAGGGTCACCAGGTCGAAACTATACTGTTCGAAGCACTTGACGGTCGCCGTCCACATGCTTTGGGGAGAAATAACTGTCATCACATCGCCGAGTAGGAGCAACGATTATATATTCATGTGATCTACCAGAGGCTAGAGATAATTATGATACAACAACATCTGCAAATGAAGGTCATGAAGAGCCTGAAATAAACCTGAGGGTACTGGCATTACATCTGAAAAATAACCACGGCACGTTCTTATTCTTGAATTCAATGGATATGTCCTGACGTTGCGGAGCAATCGGTCTAAACGGGGAGACGAAGATTTAAAGGTGGGTTTGCTAGACAACTCTGCAAATTGTCCATTGTCTTTGGAACCTTTCAGGAGGTCACGGTGCAGGAGGATGCTGATTCCAAAAGTTTTGAGAACTCATTCAGGGATCAAATTCCAACCAAGGAATTCGGCGCACTTTGATGGGTCCTGTGCAACCTTCAATCCGGCTTGCCCAAGTAGAAGCAACATGATTCCCCATATGGCCTTATATACATGCCTGCTGTTGAGCAAACAGGACAAATGTGGAATGTGTCCTTGTGGGTGATGCGTCCTCCGCCAGGGCCATCAAAAATTTGAAGCCGTGGGCCCAAGATCTCCAAATGAGATTCCTGCAAAATGGGGTCAACCAACGTTGAATAACAAGAAACAAAAACCACTTGAGACCATGCGACATCTGTGTGTGTGTGTGTTTTATGTTCTATTTATTCTTGTGGCCCCATGTTCAACGTCAACTCACCGTCAAGCATTGAGGCTCAATTTGAATGCCTTGTGTCAAGTACATTTGAAGGCTGGTGGGCACAATGTACAACGTGAAGGGTAATGAGCAAAACAGGCCTGCGTCAGAATGTGTATCTTCTTTTGGCTCTTTACATTTTATTATCATGTGTAGACTTGGAGAACGCACACAGGTATTACTTCGGGTGGTCCCCACCTACCCAAAACTGATCACAAAACCTTTGCACAATGTTGCACGCCTCTAACATGTGTTCTATCAACTTGTGTATGTTCTTTCAACTTCTGTCTAGCATTCTTCTGGCCTGTGCACTGGCACAAAGTTCTGTGCTGTAACATAAGATCCTGGGGCATGTACTTCTAACACGTGCTCTCGCATCAAACCTGGCATATATATGCTCAAGTTGTGACATAATATGTCCGACTTTGGTTCTGCCTTTTGTGTTCTGACACTTGTTCTGGCATCAACATTAGCAATTTGTATCCATTTGTTGGGACATATGCTCTGACGCGTAACATGTTCCGACATTGTTTTGAGCTGTGGTTCTGCCATGTGTTCTGACATCTGTTCTGACATATATATTTTATACATATATATATATATATATCTTCCGGCATTTGCTCTGATATGTGTGCACTTCGGCCATCCGAACCCGAAAAGCCCGGCCCGCCCCACTCTGCCGTCCAAACCCATAAGTGGAAACTGGTAGGAGGCAAACATTGACATGTGCTGACAAAAAATCTAGAGACATCTAGAGACCCTCACCTGACAGGTGGGACTTGCAGGATTATGAATTACTTTACTTCGAGTTGGCCCCACCCAACCAGGTACACCCGTAGGATCACTGGGTCCGAGTGACTGGCGAGTCACCTTGTCATTATGTCCGTCGTTGCTTGTGGTCTCCTGTCCTGTTGGTCCTGGATTGTTGTCAAATACGTGTTGTTGTTTTTGGTGTTGCCGTTGCGTGTGTGAGTGTGTTTGTGTTATTGTCTGCTGCCTGTTGTAGTGTTTGTTCTTGAGCATTCAGGTGTTGTGTGTTGTGGTTATGTTTTGTGTGTTGTCGATGATCTTTGGCTGTCATGTCGGGCCACTGGTGGGATCCCTGACGGGCTAGTGGCCGGCAGGACGTGTTGTGCTTATGTTTGGCTTTGTGGTTGTGCGCGGGCGTGCGCGCGTGCTTGCGCCCTTTGCTCCTAGTAGCGTCCTTGTTCCTAGTAGTAAGGCCAGGAGCCCCTAGTAGCTTCTTGTTCCTAGTAGTGATGCCCTTTGCTCCTAGTAGCGTCCTTGTTCCTAGCAGAAAGGCCAGGAGCCCCTAGTAGCTTCTTGTGCCTAGTAGCGATGCCCTTTGCTCCTAGTAGCGTCCTTGTTCCGAGTAGTATGGCCAGGAGCCCCAGTAGCTTCTTGTGCCTATTAGTAGCGATGCCCTTTGCTCCTAGTAGCGTCATTGTTCCTAGTAGTAAGGTCAGGAGCCCCTAGTAGCTTCTTGTTCCTAGTAGCGATGCCCTTT